CACTATAACTCGTGGGCGAACTGACTGCATGATAGCCTGCCATATGGATGCCACCTTAACATCAGTGTTTTTTCCAACAAACATATCTTGAAGTAAAACTTTCAGGGTGGTTGGAAGGTACTCAATTTCATTCTCAGTGCGTTGCATTTCTTCAGTGTTTGGGTATAAATGACTAGTTGTGCTGGACGATTTTATATCATGTTAAGTTGTATCAAGTTGTGCAGCTGTTTTAATCAGCCGATTTGTTTCGGATTCAGGGTTTGTACGATAGTGGAAATCATGTAAAATTGCTGATGCTGAGAAGACTGGCTTGTACCTGTTGCATCTACTCATCTTCGTGGATCTTGAGTTTTGTTGTTGCAATGTTGTACGAATCTAAATTTATCACAAGCATAAACAAAATGCGTTTAGTACGCACAAAAGCCTTCAAATCTTGGTAAAAGTTGTCAGTGTTTGCATTCAGAAAGTCAGAAAGTATTCAAGCAAAGAAATTGCGACATAATCTTGTGCTACTTAAGGTTCGTCTGGTTGCCATTTAAGGAAATCACGTGATGATAATCAAAAGTCACATTGACTTTACAAACAATTTATTATGATTGACAGTCATGCAAGGACTTGCAAATGACTTGTTTTAACTATATTAAAATATGATTACTCTAAACAAAGCAATTAATACAGAAAGGAAAAAGAGAAGTAATCATAGAAAAGTCTTCTTCTTCAATCTTCCTTGTGTAACAGGATTCAATAACAGGGTGTTTAAAAAACCCTGGAAATTACAAACGAGTCATTAAAAGTTCAAACAGTGCTTAGTTTCCAAGATGCTGGTGCTTAGAAATAAAGGAAAGATATTTTGGTATAACGAGGTATCTGGTAAAACAAAAGATTGGTTGATTACTTGACAGGATTAAAATAATTGTAAAAAATGCTGACATCAGCAAATTTCTGTTCTATAACTGGCGGATAGTTTCTTCAGTTTATCTGAATAAAAAGTGTATAGAAAAAACTAGCAATATCATTATGAAATAATGTGTATGCTGTAATTAATATTAATTACAAAATATAAATGTAAGAAAAATCTAAAATGTACGAAAAACACTACCCCTTACATCTACCCGTGTAAAAAAAATTGCCCATGTTATCAGTGCTTGGGTTTTTTTGGGGGGTAAATCCACAAAAAATTCCCTATCTTTTGATACCAAACTTGTTAATGTACTATTTACTTCCCGGTTCGGCCTGTTTCAGGGCTAAATCCACTGGACTATTTGAACATTTTGCATGTATCTTCTATAAGCCATTAAATCCGGCTTCTGTTTTTTACACCTTGCACTGTATATGTAATATCTGGCTGCCAATAATGTAAAATTTAAGAGAATGGAAAAATATTCATCTCCAAGGATAACCTGTATGGGATAAAGTATTTACCAATCGTAAAATAGATGTAACAAAGTTTCATCCTGTTCTCCGCAAAAGGAACTCTTTGAAGATTCAACAAGACATGGTTTGATTTTCGCCAATAATACATTTGTTGACAGTATATTGTGTAAAATCTTAAATTGAAAAGTTCTCAATTGTGTGTCAATTGTTGTTATAAATGGTAGTGAATATAATGCTAACCAGCAATCTGTTTGTGCATTCAATGTCAAGGTGAAATACAGTTCAGATCTTGGTGGTATAAAATAAAATTCTACAAGCTTTTTCGTAATATTTCTAGTGTTACAATCATTTAAATTAACATGTATATTACCTATTTGCACCTGTTATTTCAAAATTTTGTAATTTCTTTCTGTTTACATTAGTTTTCCATTCATGTGGAATGGCATTGATAATGCCAAACCAACGTAACATTGAATTCTGTGGGATTCCATTCTGTAATAAGTCCTTCCATGTCCTTAATTCTACAGGAGTTTTAAAAAATTGTCCCACATATATTATTTCCCTTTCTACAAATTCTTTGAAAAATATTGATTTTCCTGCAAATAGGATTTCTTCATTATTCCATATTATCTGCTGTAATTCATTTGGTTCTTGTTCAATTGACATTTTTGTTTTAATTTTAGTCCATTCATTTAGCATTGATTCAAGGCTTCTCGACACCCTTATATTCAATTTTTTTAGGTTGAAATTACATTTCAAAAGAAAGTGAATGCCTCGAACTTTTTCAAGCTGCTTGTTGAAAATTGTTTTCCAAGGATGACCTATATTTTTTTCACACATCCTCCTTAACCAATTAATACGCTGAGCTATATAAATGGCGTTAACATCTGGCATTGAAATTCTCCCTTTTTCAGTTCTACCAATCAATGTTTGTCTAGCTATTTTTTCTGGACCCTTCCATATAAATTTATAAATCATTTTGTTTATTTCTTTAATTTTATTAGCAGGGAGGTTTACCAAATTCATTACATATTGTATTCTAGATATGGCCAATGTTTTGATGATCTGTACCTTCCCCATAAATGTTTTTCTTATTTTTTCTAGTGGTTCGGCCAGATTTAGTTCTCTTGCTTTGTTTTA